CAGGGCTTTACCCCCTTCCCCGGACAGGCCAAGCCCCCCCCACCCATTAGACAGAGATCGTCGGGCGGTTGGACTAAAAATATATAAAAATAGGTCCACGCCAAGCCAACACATGTCTGTCACAATCAGAGAGTGTCATTTCTGGCCATCCAGAGGTTCCTATTCTTAAAGAAATCTCATTTGGGAGGGGAACACCCTCTCAAACCCTTCCCCCAGCTCGGGCCTACCAGCCCAAGTCCCTCTGTCGGACAGCTCAGCCCCTCCCCCACTGATTGCTACCTCTACTTAAAAGGCTTCACCTCATATAAGATCTGTCGTTACCTCCCAGTCATTATCTGCAATCAAAGGGTTTTACCACTATGAGCTGATGCCATTTACTACTAGAGCTTCTGCCCTCTGTAACAATGGAGGAATTAGTTTAATCTAAAATAATTCTTCCATGCTGCAACCAAGTTAGTGAATTGTGGAGAACTCTTTGAGTCGGCTGACAAAATCGCATTCTGATTTCTCTTAACTGCGTCAACAACCATGTTGATAACGTTATTTGGACGCCATGTGTATTAGCCATACTTACTGGACAGGAGCTCAAAGTAATATTCTGCATATTTACTTTCTTACCTCAAGCATAGCAGCAGTCGTAATCGTAAAAAGAACTAAAGTAGGGTGCAGGTCATATGTAGTGAGAAATTATATAGTTGCTCCATTTCCCACAGCACAGTCCAAGAAGCAAAATTCTTCTCCTTAACTTTTTCCCTCCTCTTATTCTCAGACCTCGTTCTCTCTCTGTAGCCAATGGGAAATTGCTACATCATATGCTCTAAGTGGCCACATGATTTTAGGCATAAGGCCTTGTTGTAGAAACCACAACTTCAAATTTCCAGCCAGATCACACATCTCAATTGATTCTAACCCTTCAAACACCATATATGTGGTAGCTTTTCCCCTTCACTAAATGTTATTTCAGGACCAGATCTCTCAGCAGTCTTTATGATAACTTCTTTGACTAGAGAAAACACAATTGTTGATGCAGTACATCCTTCGGAATTCCAACTCCAGTTCTTTCCATTGTGTAGTATACTCTCCAGTTACGATCCGTACCGATCTGTACGCATTAGCCAAGTGATGCCATAATACAGTCAAGTTTCTCTTCTGCGCCTCTTTCAACATCTACATTGGCTCTCCTATATCAAGCTTTATTGCCTGGTCTTGTTAGACTCACCAGCCCCTCAATGACAATGGTTTTCTTCTGAGTAGGTTTTCCTCCGGTGCCCTTCGAGGAATCTTTTGATACATAAAATCCACTATGTTTACTTTGTGAGAATAGATCTTTTTGTGAACTGGTACTGGTTCCCAAAAAGCTTTTCTTTAGCGTTCTCTCTCTATTTTTGTTTGCGTCGCTAAAATTTATTACGTCTAAGGGAGTCACCCATGACTATTTTCTTTTCTGATATTCCAATCAAGATACTCTCATGAAAATAGGTAATATGTCTTCATCAAACTCCATTTCACACCTTCTAATCTGCCATTGCATTTGAACTTTGTCTTCTAGTCACTTCTTTGCCGCAACTTTTTGCTGTGGTGGAACTGTGATTAGAAACATTTCCTCGATTGTCTTCCGACTCCAAGAGGACGAAGGACAGGGGCTGGTAAATTTGGATGTCCTTCAAACTTGAGAACATCTTTACACACCAACACACCATGTCCTGCATCTTAACAGTACAGTATATACATTCTTGTTTTGGTATGTAGGCATGGCCTAGAATTTGATGATTTGTTACGACCATTAGTCATAGAGATATACAAAATGTTGTGCATATATTATAAGTAAAAGGTTAGTTGTAGCATTTATGGTCTCGATATGCCAAAATGTTTCATTAAAGAAAATACAAACATCTAGATTCTGAATTTTTTGAAAAAGCAACTTTAGGTCCCAGTAGGTGCCAAGATATCAAAACCCTATATCATTACACCTAACTTGCATAATAAAAACTTATTTGCATATGAGCTACATATTTTTAAAAGAAAGGGATGGTGACGTGACTTTTTTTTTTAAGTGTAATGAAAATAAATACATATTTTTTTTAAATGCCTAAATCAAGCTTCAACAACCATTAGTCATAGGCATATGCAAATTCTGTGAATATGGGGTCAAATGTCATTTGTAGCATGTGTTCCTTTCGAAAAAAAAAACATTTGTTTGCAATTACTTTTACAGAACATATGCCAGATTATATTTTAACCTCAATTTGACATAATGAACTTAAATGACCTTTAAAGAAAATTGTCCTGACATTAAAAAGTGTCAGTTTCATTAAACCTAACATATCATAGATCAGTTTCAAATATAGGAATGAGTGTTTTTTTGTTGTTTTTTTTTTGGGTTTTTTTGACGGTTGGGTTTAACCGTATTTTAAACTTCAATAATAATACAGCACTACCCAAATGTGCAGCTCTTCTCTGGTCACTCCTTTACACCAACCCCCTTTTGTTAGTCTCGGGCCACAAACCCAGAAACAATTGATTTTTTATTTTATTTTATTAGTAAAAGTGTTTTCTACTAGTGCAGAATGGTTTAATCGAATTACTAAAATACTATACATGTTATTTTAATCATCTATATTTTAGCCACTGTGTATATTTAAATACAGGCATGTTTGTATTTTTTAAATATTTCCATAGTCTTATTTTTATTACACCACCCCCTTATTACACCCCCCCCCCCCCCCCACACCCAAAATCACTCATCAGCCGTCTCTTATCTCTATAAATATAGATGTACGTACAACAATCCAACAATTTACATATTAATACTTACATATGTAGTAAGAAATGTGCACGAAATGCTCTCGACGGGATGCTTCTGATCGAGTTAAACATTAAATATCTTTAAAATGAAAAAAATATATATATAATTTTAATTGTATATTATTTTTTTCACTTTGCAATTACACACGCAACAAAAAGTACTTACATGCTCGAGCTGTTTCCAAGATTTCTGAAGCTTCCTGTCGCTATATTCTCAACACCTGCATATTTTAATTGTCTATGGAAATAAATAATAGTGATACAGACAATATATATTTAATAACCAATTTTTAAGACAGAAAATTTTTTCACTCCACTCATTATTATGATGATCAATTCATCAGTTTTACTTTAGTAACAACCATATTCTGTGAATGACTGTGGGAGTAACTGAGAGATAACGATATTAACAGTGACACAAAGCACAAACAGATAAAGGAGTACATGAATTAAGTTAGTTAGCGATACTAATATTATTATTATTAATATTAATAATAATAATAATAATAATAATAATAATAATAATAATAATGATAATAATAATAATAATAATAATAATAATAATAATAATAATAATAATAATAATAATAATAATAGTTGTAGTATTTTTATTGTTAGTATTGCTATTGGTACTATTGCTATTAAGTTTGCTATTGGCTTTGTTATTGTTATTGCTATTTTTATAATGATTATTAATTATAATATTATTGCTATTATTATTAATATTACTATTATTGGTGATACGCTTCAGATTTTTCTTCTTTATTTATTTATTTTTTTTTTATTCTTTCCCACTTTTTTGTTGGTCGATTTTCTCAAAAACGGCACATGTTTGATCTTTCCTGCTAACGTTGCATATAGATCTACATCTGAAGTTGTGCACCTGACTTTGTGGATGACGTCACAATTACGTGACGTCATCTACGCGCCATTTTGTGAAATTCTATCATTGACCATAACTTCTTTACTAACAGGTATTTTTCAATGAAACTTGACACAAGTATACTTCACATCAAGTGTCAACTTCCTGCACCATTACCGTCCGCGCGTCCAGAGTAAAGTACGTGCGTACGCGTGCGTCAAAATTAAAAAATGCTCAAAATCACTTTCTGCACCCCATTATTCTACTGTCATCATATTCATATATGTAGGACTGGTGACTGTCCTTGTAAAATGCAATATGCGAGGGTTATATAATCCTAATCTGGCTTATGCCGTCCTGTATATTGTATATACAACCAGATTACAACAGTTTAAGGC